GTCCTTAAGGCCTGGTGGGCCAGGATGTGCTCCAGTCTCTCCTCCTCCCCCTTCATCTGCTCCCATGTGCTCTGATCAGACATGGCTCTGGACACTCTTGCCATAGGTTCTGTTGATCTTTTATTTCCCAACTCCAAGGAGTGAATATTACATTTCGCTGTTGTCATTTATTTCTTCAGCTGCAAGTAAAGATAGAGCACTATTTTTTTCTGAATAACCTCTCAGGGCACATCTATTCACTTTTCTTTTAGGTTCTTATCCTACTCATTGCTTTGTTACAGCTGCAACAAAGAAGCGGAATCAACAATAGCATGCACATGCTGGATGGCATTTAGTTGGGCAGAAGATTTGAGAATTGGGTAGCACTGAACCCGAAGCAGAAAGGTGATCAGCTGAGTTAGCATCTGTGACCAGCGTTTCATTGACAAAACACAGAAACAAAAGAAGCTTGTTTCTGATTGGCTTGTACAATCTGTTATCGAAGTGCTGTCAGGATTTCATTGGTCAAGGAGGGTGAAGACATTGTCAGAATCTCATTGGTCAATTAAAGCGGTGGCCTAGCTTACAGGAATGTTGGGCTTAAGTTTCGATAATGACAAGTCTTTTTTTATTTTAATAAATCATTTTATTGGGGGCTCTTACAGCTCTTACATCAGTTGTATCAAGCACATTTGTACATTTGTTGCCATCATCATTTCCAAAACATTTTCTTTCTACTTGAGCCCTTGGTATCAGCTCCTCTTTTTCCCCTCCCTCCCTCACCCTCCCACCCTTGTGAACCCCTAATAATTTATAAATCATTTTTATTTTCATATTTTACACCATTCACTGTTTCCCTTCAACCACATTTCTATCGTTCATCCTCCAGGATGAGTGGGTGTTGTTTGTCGATCATTGCGATCGGTTCCCCTTCTCCCTCTTCTCCCCCCACCTTTCCCCTACCCTCATGGTATCGCTACTCTCATTATTGGTCCCGAGGGGTTTATCTGTCCTGGATTCTGTCTGTCGAGAGCTCTTATCTGTGCCAGTGTACATGCTCTGGTCTAGCCGGATTTGTAAGGTAGAGCTGGGGTCATGAGAGTGGAGGGGGGAGGAAACATTAAAGAACTAGAGGAATGTTGTGTGTTTCGTCAGTGCTGTACTGCACCAATAGTGGCAAGTCTTAGAGGTGCTGTCCACTCAACTGCAGTTGCCATTTTGTGAACTATGCAATTCCATTTTTATTTCTTGTAACACCGCTTAGACAAATCCCCAAAGTCAAACTCAATCCTTTTCTGGAATACCTGTTCCTACTCAGAGTGGCGCTAGAGGACAGAGTACAACTGTCCCATCAGTGCTGGGCTGCTAACCAAAAGGCAGCAGTTCAATCCCACCACCAGTCGTTCCATGGGAGAAAGATGTGGCTGCCTGCTTCTCTGGAGACTGACAGCCAGTTCTACTCTGCCCCACGGGGCTGCTGGGAGCCTGAAGCAAAGGGCGAGCCTATCCCTTGGCAGCTGGCTGCCTGTCTCGTCCCCTGCAGCACTCTGAATGTTTGCCATTGCTCTTCCCGTGTCCCACTGGCCACTGTCCTGCTGTGAACCCTCTGTCTCCCCCTGCAGGTCCGAGTGATGGTCGACCTGTGCAACAGCACTAAGGGCATCTGCCTGACAGGTAGGTCACTACCAACAGGACTCTGCCCGCAGAGCCTACCGTGGGCTAGCTAGGGGGCCAGCTGCCCAGTGAACACCTGGGAGCATTCTATATTATAAGAAAAAAATTTAAAAAGACTTGTTAGCTTACTTTTACCAGATGTTTTTAATAGGCTGAAAATCAATTATAATCTAATTATGAGAAGTAATAGTTTTTTGGTATTGCCATAGAAATCGTGTCATGGAAAAAAAAACTTGTGTAATTAGAAACGTGTGCTACCCGGAGCCAGGGCCGTTGGTATATCCTGTATTCTGCTTAGTTTAAACAAAGAAAAGAAAAAGACCGTGGTAAGTGGTAGTGAGCACTCTCCTCCCAGGGAAGGATGAATCTTCAGATGTTATAGCTAGCGTTTGAATAACAAGTATTGGAAGCAAACCGCGGGTTTATGGAGAGAGCTGGTTTTAGGGAGAGTCTTCTCTGCAGTGCCTACCAAGGGCTAGGCACTGTCCCCTGTGTGCTTCCGTACTGCAGTCTAGGCATCCAGCACCAATGGCTGATGGGTGGGGCTGGGGAGGGGAGCGTCTGTGAGGTGCTTATCTGCACCTGCAGGAGTCCCAAGTTAAGCGCTTGGCTACTGACCACGAGGTTAGTGGTTTGAGTCCACTAGGAGAACCTGGGGAGAAAGCCCTGGTCATCTGTTTCCATAAGGTGACCCAAGCGAAAGCCAAACCTGCAGCCATTGATCCAATTCCAAGTCACCGTGACCGCCTCGAGGGTCTACACATTTTTACAGGGGCAGGCAACCTCTTCTTTCTCTCACAACCGGCAGTCCTGACCCGGCGACCTTGGAGTGAGCTGCCCAAAGGCTATCCCACAGAGCCGCTGAAAATCACATGGAGTCCAGTTCTACTCTGAAATAAGTCGGGTTACCAGAGTTGGAATCAGCCTGACGGCAACTGGTTTGGACCTTTCCCATGTTTGATCTGTGCCTAAGTCTGACAGGGCCCCCACCCACCCTTGATCGCTTGAGGGGAGGGGTCTGCCCCAACAAACCCCAACACAGTCATCTCGTGCGTCGGTCCCCGAGCTGGTGGATGCTGCAGGCCGGTCAGTGGAGGGCATCTGCAAAGGCCTGCCTCTCCCACTGGGGTGTGGCTTTCCAAGGAAGCTGAGGGGAATTCTTCTCGCATTAAAACCAACTCTTGTGGAATCAAAGCATACTTCCCACGGACTCTAAAAGATAACCACAAGGCTTTGAAGCAGCAAGAAGCGTTTGCTGGGTTTTGTCAGCCTGGAGCCCAAGGCACTGGGGAGGTGGGGGTTCCTACTTCACAGGGTGACTCACTCCGATTGAGTGTGAAGAACCCCAAATGGGCCTGTATCTAGTTGTAAGAAACCCACCCCTCTCTACAACGTTCCCTCCCCCAAGTACCTCCCATGCTCTGCCACCAGCAGGCCTTCAGCGTGTGTGTGTGTGTGTGTGTGTGTGTGTGTGTGTGTGTCATGAGCTGTGGTTTCCAGTTACTAAGTGGAGGTGGGGGGCTGGCCTCTACCAGAGCCTTAGGCGGCTGCTCGGGGACTGTGGCAGTGGAGAAAAAAAGAAAGGCGAGCATCCCGTGGCTTCAAGAGCAGTACTAATTGAATGTGTCAAGGCACATCTCAGCCCTCACAGAAAACTAAATGTCTTCCGAACAGCTCGGTCCTTTACTTTTGTGGCGTAAGTGCCTTCCTTCCACCTTTGAAAGCCCCTGGTGAGCGTCCCCGTGGAGTGTGACAGTAATGGGTGCTGGTGACACGTTCAGAAAGATGGAATTACAGGCACAAAAGCCTGGTTGAAAAATGCAGGAAAGGCCTCTTCCTTTTTTGTTTTTTGTTTTTTCTTTTTTTATTCTGCAGGCATAGAACAAGACAGGCAGGCTGTGCGCTGAAAGGGCAAAGCGATGGAGCTATTGAGACCACTCAGGGGAGCGGGGAGCGGGGAGGGGGTCCCATCTGAGCTGGAAATGGGTTGAGGTGGTTATTCTTTGCCACCTCTGGGTACTTTTCAGAAGCCTGCGCCTTCTCCTTGCACTGCAACTTGAAATTGGACCTTCTTTTTACCCAGGAAGCGCTTCATGTAAAATTGAGGTGGGGAAAGTATAGTTGAACCGAAACATGGTGCCTTAGGATGGCCCAAGCTGCCTGGGTGGGTGAGGGAGGGGACTCCGAGACCTAGGACTGAGTTGAGGCACTTGGGGACAGCAGGGGAGGAGGGAAGAGCCTTAGCTCTGAGCCCCAAGAAAACAGAGAGATGGAGGGGCCCAAGAAGATGGCAAGCAGGAGGGGTCCCCGAGCCAAATTCCTGGAACCAAGTGCATGAGAGCAGGGTCTAGCTTTACACTGGACTCATCTTTGGAAACGTAGGCACTTGTGACCTGAGGCGAGGGGAGGGGTACCTGAAACCTCCTTCCGGCTCCTTTTCCTGCACTGAGCAGTGGTTGCTATGAGGATAAGCCCAGACACCGGAATGTCTCATGCAGTTTGTAACCTGTGGGGTACCTAGAAGCTGGATTATATGAAGAAGAATATGGCATCGGGATTGGAGGACGGCTGATTGGCAACCTGCGATGTGCAGAGGACACAACCTTGCTTACTGAAAGGGAAGGGAACTTGAAGCACATGTTGATGAAGACCAAGAATGGCAGCCTTTGGCGCGATTTACAACTTAATATAAAGGAAACCAGAATTCTCACCACCAGACCAATCGATGACATCGTGATAAATGGAGAAAAGATTGAAGTTGTCAAGGATTCGGTCTTGCTTGAATCCACAGTCAATCCACTGCTCATGGAAGCAGCAATCAACAGGTCAAACTGAGTTGCATTGGGTAAATCTGCTGCCCAAGACCTCCCGACAGTGTTGAAAAGCAGGGAGGTTATCTTGAGCGGCACCCAGCAATAATAACAGCCGCAGCAAGAGCAGCTGCACAGCAAGGGCAATTCACTTGCAAAGCAGTCAGGTGCTTTGGAAACCATGGTTCCTCACCCAGCCTGGGCTTCTCTGGGTGCCCCTGACACGTGAGCTCCTTTGGGGGCCCCAGCAGGACATCTTTGGGGAGAGGAAGAGTCTTTTATTTCATCATGTTATTGGGGGCTCACACAGCTCTTATCACAATCCATCCATCCATCCATGTGTCAAGCACATGTGGACATTTGTTGCCATCATCATTTTCCGAACATTTGCTTTCTACTTGAGTCCTTGGCATCAGCTCCTCATTTTTCCCTCCCTCCCTCACAAACCCTTGATAATTTATAAATAGTTATTATTGTTTTTTCATGTCTTACACTGACCTGTGTCTCCCTTCACCCACTTTTCTGTTGACTATCCCCCTGGGAGGGGGTTATAGGTTGATCATTGTGATCTGTTCCCCCTTTCTCCCCCCACCTTCCCCCTACCCTCCTGGAAGAGTCTTAAAAAAGATGGGTTCGCTTCACTTAGGAGTGTGTCAGGCAAACCGGCACACTGTCTCCCTGCTAAAGGGCGGAAGCACTTGGAATCCACAATGCCCATTGTCTTTGCAACCACGTGACGCTAACCCAGAGAAGCTGGGCATCAATCAAGGGTCTCGGTGCTAATTGAAGAGGGACCATGAGGGAAAGGAGGGTGAGGAGGGTTTCACAACTAGGGGAATGCCATCATTGTCCCCGGGTTGTACATAGAGTGTTGAATTGACCCATGGTTCTGCTGCGGATAGTTTCAACAATAGCAAAACAAAACTAACAATGGCTCACAGTGAGCACGGAGGGTGGCCCTGTGTCACCCTTCGCTGGCGTTCCAGAAAGCCACTGCGAAGTCGTGGGAATTGGCACTCGAAGTCAGACCCATTGGCCATCCCCACACGGACTTGTGAAGCTTGCCGTGGCTAGAGTCCAAAGTTGAAATGCACCAAATAAAAAGGATTGGGCCCAAGCTACGGTTTGGTGGGAACAGAGTTCTGATTCCTCCGGGATTAGCCAACTGGCTGCGGCAGGGGCAGCTGCCGGGGGTAGGCCACAAGACATGGAATAGGGACTTGGCCCTCGACGCTGAGGTCAGTGCAGGCCCCAGGTAAATGAAGGGTCAGTCCCAGAAACAAACAGCGGTGCCGCTGATGCTGCTTGTACTCAGCTGGCTTCCAGGTGAGGCCGCAGAGGCCCAGGTCGCCGGCCCTTTTGGTGCCTGTGGACTCGTTCTCCATCAGCGAGCCTGTGAGCTCTCCAGAGTCTCCCCGCAGGAGAGCCGATCCGGTGAGGCTTCCCTGGCCAGCGCCCTCGTGGGGCCCTGAAGGAGTAGCTGGCTCAGACTCTGCCTGGGGAGCTGCTCGCTTTCCTGCCGTTGTTGTTAGGGGCTATCTGGTAGATTTTGATGCATCGCGACCCTGTGTGACAGAGCAGAACTGTCCCCTAGCGTTTATAGAAGCAAACAGTCCCGTCTTCCTCGCCTGGGATTGCTGGGCAGAGTCCCCAGCCTTTCAGTTACCCGGCCAATCACTTAACAGGCTGCGCCACCAGGCGCCTCTGCCTCTCGCTAATGCGGTCAGGCGCCATCATGTCCGTTCGGAGTCATAGCGATCCGCTGTTCCCAAGAACGCAGTCCTGTGCCGTCCCCACACCTCTTGTCATGTGTGAGGCCATCGCTGCAGTCCCAGTGTCCATCCGTCTCCCTTTCTCACTGCCCCTCCACTTTACCAAACGTGATGTCCTTCTCTGGAGACTGGGCCCCTCTTTCCACCAGCTCCCTGGAACGCAGAGCCAGCGCCACATTTCCTAAAAGGTTTCTATTTGGAGTATTGGGTGGGCTTATTTTTTCCCCCTCATCAAAAAGACTGTGAGACGTGACAGCCATTTCCCGTGGCTATAAGGAAACGATTTAAAGAACAGCCACTTACCTGCTATCCTAAGCAGGTGTCTTGGGTCAGGCAACACCTGTTTTGATGCCACCCCAGGTTAAAAAAGGGAGGCTGCTCATGGGAAAGCAGAGATACACAGAGAGCTCTTCGCCGG